AAGTGATTTCTGAAATTCTGACTTATTAAGCGGCGGAAATCGACGTGATGCTGAATTACTAAGGCATTAGGCAAAACGTTCGTCCCAATTACTTGGAGCCTAGTGAGTGAAATTGGAATAAATAATTCATTTGTTATCGTCATTGCTTGTAGTCCATCCACAAGGTGTCTCCTCTTCCGACTTCACTAATGGTGGTGGAGGTTGCTTTGGTGACTCGTCAACGACTTCCAGTTCCATCCGTACAGGCCCCAAAATTTCCGTTCGAAATAAGCACTTTCCTTCATATTGCTTGGAGCGTTTCCAAGGTATTGCATGAGGAGGAAAAATTCGTTTGGGAACGTCAATGATGATCACTATCTTCTTCCCTTACCGTCTTCTGAAAATGCATGATGTCTAGCGTACCATTTCTTCCTTGCTCGCACATTTTGTAGATTTAGTTTGGAGGAAATTCTCCTCTATACTTACTTGACTTATTTGCTAATTCAGTCGCGTGCATGGACTTTCACAGTTGCTCGATTCCATCTCAGACGGTTTTGTGCCTTTGATATAGCTGGATGGAGTCATCATTAGTGGACTGCGAAATGAGTCGATTCATCAGACTTTACTTGATCATCCTCCATATTCATTGCTCATCAATGTGAATATGGTTTGATCATTGCAGTAGACCCCCTATTTACGCGATCGAAAATGAAAGCGCTTTTTATTGACCGACTGCATTTATTTCAGCTAGCAATGTGCCATGTACATATTATAAATTATGGTTTCTCAGCTTGATTCAGTTTTGGTGCTCGCGATTAATATCAGCGCACTGCTCTACAGGTGGTGCCTCCTCCAGTTTAAGTGATGGCAACTCGCGTCCTCTCTCTCCTGAAACTGACCTGGAGGATGAATTCAACTATCCCCTCCCTGAGAAAGATCAGCCAATCATGGTAATGCGATTTGCATCTCTTTTCGCCTAAATCTTCAGACAATAGTTTGGCCTTAGGTCAATTTTTTGATCGAATGGCTCAGCCCTCGAGGAAGCTAGTGTTTTGGACACGCCAATACAATGATAAAAATAATAGCTGTACGCTTGTGAATGGCAAAAAGCCAAATCACTACTTTTTATCGCTTACATTTTGTTAACTATCAGTAATTAAAGGCTTTGGTATAGACTTTACTGGATAGCCTCACAAGATTCTCTAGTTATATCTGATCCAGTTCAACGTCTTTCTATGTTTGCAATTATTGTTTGATATACCCATTGCAAATTAATTTCGTAACGCCATTCGGCGTACATTTGTTGTTGCCCGTTTGACTTAAACGTCAGTAACCTCAGCAACCTTTCGCCTAGGCTGCTGCCCACGCTCTGCATCAGGAAGCTCGGCTCTGGTCAAGTCGTGACAACGAACTTATCGCTGCCACCAAGCGGATTGCCGCTCTCATGGCTAAACTTAGTCAGATTGTCCGGTATGTTTCTATCATCTCTTCTCGGATTTGTCACATTAATTCCTTGCATCTACGCATTCATTGCACCCAAGAGACAAAGCTCTTGCCTAAACCATAGCAGAGCGATTTGCCGACAAACTGTTGCTAAGCGCCGATTGTTAGAGCTTTCATTTGATGTGAATTTATTATCAATAGCGATAATTTTTTTCTTACACCTTTTTGGGATCCGCTATTGCTTTACTCTGAGCTACATGAATGTGGTACAGGCGTCCTTGTACAATTGTGCTAGGCTCGATTGCTATTTCCCATAAAAAATTTTTCTTTTGGATAAATGGAGATCGTCTGCACCTTCGTTTGCAATAAGCCTTGAAGGTGTCAAGTGAAAGGGGAAGGTATTGGCTTGGTGTTTACTAGCATGCAGATTTTGATTCCTTAATTACTTTTGGTGCGAGGGACACCTACCCACGAACTTATTCAAAGTCGCACATTAAACTTATTTTTCTTAAGCCTATCAGCCTTCTCATTTTTCCAACTCTTCCAATTTGTTGTGCGACTGGAGCTTAAGGATTGTAACTATCTAAGGTGTAAACTTGATTACCAATAAATTAGTAAGGTTCCGCCTATTATCAAAGGTTATTATGCAGTTCGAAGGTGATTTTAAATGTTACGTTATTTCTCTAGGCACTATTCATTTGCATTGCGAACCTACTTTGTTTAAGCCCCAAAAGTAAACAGCTGTTAGAATAGATGTCAAATCTCGCTAACCTTATGAGTCAAAAATGACAAAATTTAGCATTGTTTCTTCCACATGCGGAATAAAACAAGAGTTGTATGCCTTTCATCTAAATGTGGTAGCTTTCGTCCTATGCAAAAGTTATGATTATGTCATCTTGATCGCATATGTAATTTTATTGGTTCGTTCGAATTTCCAACCAAACTGATCTCTATTTCTCATTCCTCATTCCTCCGAAGAATTCTCATTTCCATCTACTTGGCATGGCTGAGAGTTCGATTCCCTGACATTTTTGACACTTGTAAACTTATCTCTATTTGGCAATTCTCTGCTCATAGGGGCGAGTACGGTAATAAAAAGGACCTCATCAACGTTTCAATGGCAATCGCAGAGGCTTCTGTGGATGTGACGCTTTGCGCTCGAGCCCTCGGAAGGGAGTGTACCGACAGACGAATGAAAACCGTACGTTTTATTGCTTTCATGTCCAGTAATGTTTATACCTAAAGCGAATGATTCACACATACGTATTGTTTAATTTATCCTGCAAATTGGCATATTTCGTACCACTTGAATTTTAGAGTCTTCTACAATTGAGCGACCGAATTCAAATGATTGGCAACCAACTGAAGATCCTTTCAACGGTAAAGGCTACCATGCTAGGATCAGATGGTACGTATCATTGTCCATGACCTCACGCTTCTCATTGTCCTGCACCGAAACAACCTTCATCACCACGCAACATTTTGAAAATCCAGTCTAACCTTATTGTCGCATCACATGGTTTTTGACTTATGAACACTGGGGTCCTTTAAAACCTATTTTGTATCTTAATTCTCTGTATAGGTCTGCCAATAAACGTAGAGTTTACTGCTGCAGGTAATAAGTCTTACCAATATTGTTAACATTAACGAACTTTTGTTAAAAGGTGACATTTTAATACACCCGCACCCTCTCATTTTGCTTTATCAAAGTTTGCATTTTTTCACTCCCCGGTATTCAGACTTGCCCCTTCATTACGCTTTAATTGAACTTGACACCCCATAAGCGCACTCGTGCTTCCAAGGTGTTCCATGACTGCTTTTATTCGGGCAATCTACAACGAAAGTCAATAAATGGCGATTCTTCCTGCCTTCGAAAGTAAATTGATCCTAAAACGCATAACCACTGCGTACTTATCTGTTGATTATTGCTTTTGCGACTAAATTTCTGGATTTATTGCTGTTTTACAAAACGATCTTATTGATGTCAAGGTTGCACTGAATGTCCAATGATCTCAGAACTCGAATGTGGTAAATGAAGCGATTGAAATGATGTGCATGTGCCTGACCTCTGCATGTGCACTACTTTTTTGCATTTTATGCCAATTCAGGTAATGACTTAAGCACGGCCTGCCTAGATCCCAGTAAGCCTTGCTGTTGTGTATCCCATTGCCACTACTTTACTTAAGCCTTATTGTTGTACCACACAAATCCTCTACCTATTAATACACTTCAGAATTCAGGTGATAGGAGGCGTAATTGAAGCTCCACGAGTTACTTCTGCGTTCAAAATTGGGCGTAAGAAGTATGGTCGTAACTATCTTAATGCATTTTTTTAGCCCGTAGTAGTGATTCTGCATAGAGAATGGTAAGAGAATGGAGGTTCTTCGCATAAAAATTAGACGATATGAGGACTTCATGAAATGCACATGTAGGACAATAACTACCTCATCACCCCTTATATGCTCATGCTCACTTTTGCATTCAGGTCAGACCCGTGTAGTGAGACAGTTAAATTGCGATTAAATTTTAAAACATGATTTATCACGAGCACATATGAAAGTACTAACGCTCCACACTTAGCCAAACGCTATCATTGCCCTTTCCATGAACAATAGACGCAGGACGTCAGTTGTCAGCAGATGTTTAAAATGCAGCACCTCAGCACCATTCTACGCCTCACACTGGAGCAGGCTCCTAACATAACCTAACATCATAATTCTGACCTTTACAACCCACACAGTTTTTTTTTGACATTGCTTTTTCATGTTGTACTGAATCGAATCGAAGAAGCCCTCGACCTAACGAAACGTCATCAGACGCCACATAAACGCACCGCAATTAGAGCATACTTAGTTCGCCTAAAATCAAGATTGTAAAACCAAACCGCCTGCCTTTACGTATTATTCATGAATGGTTATGTCCCAATTTAGAACACAAGTGTGCACCATACCTACTTGCTAAACCCCTAAACCCCTATTTAGTATGCTTTTTTGAAGCCGTACTTTCACATTCAATGTACCTAATGGCTGTTGTTTTGTAACTAGGGCCAATGTCTGGTAGAAAATGTTTTCTTTGTTACTTCATATTAGATTCCCCGGAGGATCAGGAGAACACG